CAATCACCGTATTGTCCTTCTTTCATTGAATTATTTGCAACATCCTCCATCTTCTTGGCATAACCACGGTCTAAATGTCCTATCTTTCCACAATAATGACAGAGATTTAAGAGCTTTTAATACTTAAACATAACACTGACTATTTGGTTACCCAACCGGATATAAAGAATTCTTGGGATGGGCTCCTCAATGTTCAAAGTAACCAATAAGCGCAATAGTTTCCCTTCATGATTTCCTATTGTTGCTAACACTACATTCTTAAGGCTCTTGAAAGCTTTGCCTATTTTAAAACCCACTTCAGAGCTTACCCAATTTAGGAGAATGTTGTGAACCTGCACCCAGATTTTAAGCTCCTGAAAACTCGGATGCTTGCTAGAGATTTCACTTGTCCATTCCCGAAGGATTAAGTATTGGTTTTCAAAACTCCAGTTAGTACCCGCTGCCACTTTCTTCTTATCTTCAAGATTTTGGAAGATGAATTAGAAATAATTTAGGCTAAGCTCCTTGACTTCCATGGGTTGATTGAGCTTCCATATTTGGGACATTGCACGCCTGATTCCAATCCAACTAGCTGGGCAGCCTCCGATAACCTTACCAAAAAGGCTTCTTTAACATTCATCGTCACTGATTCGAATTTCATGTTGAATATATATCAAAATTAATAATAGGGACAAATTTGGTCATTACATACATAAGCCTTAGGATTTTTTATAAAATGTGGTCATTACATAAGCCTTTTTTTTTCTTTTTATGTATTTAGACAAATGTAATTACACACTATAAAATTAATGATAAAAACATATACAATTATGTATTATACATATAAAATAAATAATATTGAATATTAATAAAAATATTTGACCGGTTCGACCAGTGAACCATTGAACCGATAGCTTCACCGGTTCCATGACCTGTTCGGTTTTCAGAACCTTGGTAAATTGCGCCACACCCCCTCCCCCCGTATTATACGAAATAGGAGCATTACTACCCTGTGTTTTGAAAAATGCATGACACCCCCTTGTATTTAAGTAATCGATGCACACGCTCCCTTTTTCATTTTTCCGGTTAACGATGTTAATTTTTTGCCGACCCTCCAAATTTTTTATGTATGTTTATGATAAATTGAATTTATCACGATATTTTGAAAATATAGCAAGAAATTAGCTAAAAAAAGTTTGCAGGCCATGGGGTTCGAACCTATGTCTTCATGGGAGGAAAGGACTCAAGGAGCATTGCTACGACCCCACCAGTCCAACTTGAGTGTTAGATTTTAGAAAGTTAAATATATCGACATTACATTTGTACAAATCAAATTAAATTTAAAAGATAATGTAAAATATATTAAAATAAATTAATAAACTATAAACTGATAATAAATTAAAATATGATAAAAAATCATATAAATAAAATAAAAATAAAATAACTAAAATAACTTATATATATACAAAAATTACAGTTAAAATAATAATATTTACTGTATTTAATTTAAATTATTTTTATCTACTTTTTTTATTATTTATTTTAAATTGTATTATTTAATATTATACTATTGAATTATTCATTCTATTTCGTCTTATTTTATCTTAGTTAACAAATTTTATTCATTTTGTTTAACTTAATAGAATGATATAAAATATATTTACTAAATAAAATTAGAAACTTCAATTATTTATTTCTATTTAAAATCATTTACCAAAAAAAAAATGATAATCTATTTCTAACTTTTTATTTATAATGTATTAAAGAGTAAATCATACTAAAAATTATTTGATAAATAATATTTTTTATTTTATTATATTAATTTAATATTTTTACTTATTTTAATCCACTATTTTATAATAACTTATTTTATTTTACTTTATTTTTTTTATATTTTGTTATCTTATATTATATTGTTTTTATTTTATTTTAACTAGTTTACTTTAGTTTTATTATTTTGTTGTTTAGTATTGTTATTATAAATTTACAATTTTTCTATAATTAATTTTATTTTAAAAGTAAAAATTATAAATTTATTTTATTTTCATTATTTTTGTTAAATTTAATTTATTTCAAGTTATTATCGTTATTTTATATTATTATTATTTAATATATATTAAAAGTACCAATTATATTATTTTAATTTTATTTATTTATTAATTTAGTTTATAATGATTATTCATTTTCAAATTTATATTAATTTTATTTTAATAGTAGAAATATATAATTTAATTAACTTAAATTCATGCTACTATATTAAGTTTTATCTTACTTTTTTAACATTATTTTTATTCTAATTTAATGTATTGCAAGCCCTTATTTTTTTTATTATTATTTCGTTTGCCAGAAATCGACCCCTTTCTTGATTTGCCCATTATATTCTTATTTTATTTTATTATTTTTTTTAGAATTGGTATTATAAATGTAGTTGTGTACGATTCTTACACAAGAATCTATATGGTCCATTGGTTTAGTGCCCAGGCTCATTTCTTTCTGACCTGGATTCACTTCCTCCCTTTGAGTAAATTTTAGTTTGTTCAATAAAACAAAGGAGGGTACAAAGATAATTTATTAATTAAGTAAAATAAAAAAAATTGTAAAATGTGCGTAGTTTTTTTTTTTTTTTTTTTTTTTTTTGGTACAAGAAAGGAGGCCGGAGCCTATGTTGCTACTCGTCGAGGGTACGCGACCCCGATATTATCATGCTCAAGCCAGGTTCTCAGCTCCCGAGGGGGGGGGGGATGTTACATGCTGTAATCCCAGCGGATAAGAAGCCGCAAGGCCCGTCAAAAAATCCGCTGCAAAGTTTGCCTCCCTGTGGACATGTTTTACTCTAACGGTCCATTCTCTTTGGGTCAGATCACGAATATCTTTAACTAGGGAGCTATGTGCCCCATTACCTTCTTCTCGATTGCACACCATTTTCTCCACGCACGCGCTATCGACCTCGGCGATCACTTGTAGATATCCCATGTCCCATGCTAACTGCAGACCTTGGAAGAGTCCCCAAAGTTCGGCCCCGGTAATAGAGCACTGCTCAATATTCATCACGAATCCCTTGATCCAACATCCCATTCCATCCCGGATCAGCCCGCCGGCACTATTCATGCCCGTGGTATGATCGAAGGCTCCATCACTATTCACTTTGACCCATCCCAATTCCGGCGGGGTCCACTGTATCATTCGAGTAATATGCGTCATTGCACCTACCTTCGCATAAGCTGCTTCTTCCGGGGAGTAGCAGTCAGCAAGCCGCATCACTTCGTCCTTTCTATCCTCTGCTGTTAGTAATCTATTCTCGAAAATCCTTTCATTGCGCCACTTCCACGTTTGCCAAGCCGCGATCAAAAAAATACTACTCCAGGTCACAGATTCTTGAGCACGCCACACCATAAGGTTTTTGCGTAGCCAGCTCTTGATAGGCTGGTGGAAGAAGGCGTCGTCATGGTCTGCCGGTAAAAGGCTCTTCCAAAGGGACTTAGCATACGGGCAGTCCCGAAGCACGTGGGTGACGGACTCAGCCTCTCCACAGAAATCACACTCCGGCGAGACCGCAATGCGTCACCGCATACGCTCGCCGTTAGTGAGAAGTCTTTCTTTGGCTACCAACCATAAAAGAGTACGGGCCCGTTGGGGTACCGGGGCTCGCCAGATTAAACGCCATAAAGGTTGGCCAATATCGCGCATCCCTTGAGACAAGGCCTGATATGCCGATTTTGTCGAAAATCTTCCATCATCAGCAAACCCCCATCTGATTCGGTCCTCCCCAGATTCGGTCCTCGGTGGCAGAATGCCTGCGATTTTTAGCACTATCGCCGAAGGGAGAATGCCATGAAAGGAGGCCCAGTTCCACCTTCCAAGTTCATCAACAAACTCTGCTACTTTTGCGTTAAGATTTACTTTGTGCAGATATGGATCAACGTACTGAATTAGTGGGCCGTCAACTCCGAGCCAAGCATCCAACCAAAACCTGGTGGTTTCGCCATCTCCAATGACCCATCGCGCTCCGCTGACCACTTTGGCCCACAATTTGCTTAACTCTCGCAGAAGTCCGGTTCCCCTCCCTACAGGAATTGAAGTCAGGCTCGTTGACGGACTTAAATTGTACTTGGTCGTGACTACCTTCACCCACAATGGTTCCGGGTTCGTCAATAATTCCCATCCCAATTTAATTAACATTGTCGAGTTCATCCTCCGGATGTCCTTAACACCCAAGCTACCCGCGTCTCTAGGCTTACAGACGTCATTCCATGCTACCAAGTGTAGTTTTCTACGCCCAGCCGATCCACCCCATACAAAGGCGCGGCTTCTCCGATCAAGCCCGTCTGTAATATTCCCCGGGAGTCTGGTGGTCTGCATCAAATAATAGGGAAGTGCGCTTAAGACCGACTGAGTGAGAGTCACTCTACCCGCAAGGGATAAGGACTTCATTCGCCAGCCCGCTAGTCGAGATTCGGACTTCTCCAAAATATATTGAAACATGTCTTTGGTAACGCGCCCATGAACAACTGGCATTCCCAAGTATTTGTCCAAGTTGTCCGTAAGTTTGAAGTCCAGTACTCTCGCCAACCGAGTACTGTGTGAATCGTGCAACAATTACTTAAAAATATAAAAGGGTATCGTACATTTTTAAAAAAAACACCTATTTCGTTTAACAAGGAGGTTTGACGAAATTTACCCTCTAAACAATACTAAAACATTGTTTCAATTTTATAATAATAAAAAAAAAAATCCTATTAAATAAACAACAAGAAATGGGACCACTCGAAGGCGAAACAGAAAAACCCATAATCGCGCCCACACCTCGGAAGTCGGAATCTTCCTCCCCAACGCGTCCTGCAACCGCGTTCTCAGATAAACCCATACATACATACATACATACAAAAACCATCTCTATACCTCTGTATATAACCGCACATTTACACATAAACCATCTCTCACCTTTTTTCTCAAATTTCCCAATCAAACACATTTTCTCGCACCTTCTCAATTTTATTTTTTTTTCTAATTTTTGTTTGTTTATGGAAATCTCATTTTCCCCATTTTTCGAGGACTGCAACTACCCACTCTTCTCCCAGTCCTACCCGCAGGACCCGTACTCGATAATGTCCTCACCCGACCCGGGAAAGCGCCCCAGGTGCCCCGATTTTGACGACGATTTCTCGGTCGACGAGTTCCTCACCAAATTCATGCCCTTCGATTCGCCGCCGGAGGTCAAACTAGACCTGCACGCATTTCCGGCGGCCGCCGACCACACCTCCAGCCGCTCCAAGCGCGCCCGCTCCGAACCCGATTCATCCTCCGACGAATCTGCCGGCGGTTCAGCCGCCGCCGCCGCCGCCGGCTCCCAGCGGCGTCTCTGGGTGAAGAGCCGGTCGAAGGCGTGGTGGGAGCAGGTGAACAGCCCTGATTACCCGGAGGACCAGTTCCAAAGGGATTTCAGGATGAGCCGGGCCACCTTCGACATGATCTGTGACGAGCTCGAGCCTATGGTTACCAAGAAAGACACCATGCTCCGGCAGGCCATCCCCGTCCGGCAGCGCGTCGCCGTCTGCATCTGGCGGCTGGCAACCGGCGAGGCCCTCCGTGAGGTCTCCAAGCGTTTCGGCCTCGGCATCTCCACCTGCCACAAGCTCGTCCTCGAGGTCTGCTCCGCCATCCGCGCCGTCCTCATGCCCAAATTCCTCCGGTGGCCGGACGATTCCCAGTTGGCGGACATCCACCGCTCGTTCGAGCGCCTCTCCGGCGGGATCCCTTGCGTGTGTGGGTCCATGTACACCACCCACGTCCCAATAATCGCCCCCAAAACAAACGTGGCCGCCTACTTCAACAAGCGCCACACAGACCGCAACCAGAAAACGAGCTACACGATCACGGTCCAAGGCGTGGTAGGCCCCAGGGGCGAATTCACTGACATATGCATAGGGTGGCCGGGGTCGATGACCGACGAGCAGGTCCTCGACAAATCTGCCCTGTCCCAGCGCGCGGGCAGGGGCGCGTTAAACGGGTCGTGGGTCGTGGGTGGGCCGGGCCACCCTCTGACCGACTGGGTCCTTGTCCCGTATTCCCACGCGAACCTTACGTGGGCCCAACACGCGTTCAACGAGAAGGTCGGTGAGGTTCGGGCCGTGGCCCGAGAGGCTTTCGCGAGGCTCAAAGGGAGATGGAGCTGCCTTCAGAAGAGGACCGAAATGAAGCTGCAAGATCTGCCGGTGGTTTTGGGCGCGTGCTGCGTTTTACACAATATATGCGAAATTAGGGGAGAGGTTTTGGGTTTGGAATCGAGGTTCGAGGTTTTTGACGATGAGGTGGTGCCCGAGAATGGTGTGAGGTCGGTCGAGGCCGCGCGCGCGAGGGACGAGATTGCGCACAACCTCTTGCATCATGATCTTGGGGGGAAGGGTTTTGTGCTGTGATTGTTTGTGGTGGTGTCCATTACAGGTCTTCTT